AACATGAGATAAGCTGTAACTCCGTGATGGAGTCAGCTGTCTCTCAACTGGAATGTGGGGGAGTACCATAGCTCATGCAGTCACTTGGGCAAGACACTGAAACCCAAATTGCCCCCAGTGTGGATGTTTTTAACCCACGCAGACCAGGGGACCATGTATGCAACACAGATGCCTATGTTGAGCATTTTAACAAAGTTTGCCATTCACTGTTGCAGTGAAGGAATTTCCACCTTGGTGATCCAGGGTGGGCCAATAGTATGCAGGAATTATCGCACCACCCTTTTTATTTATTTAGCAAATGGGTTTCTGAGGGTCAGAAACTGGCCTGCCAGCAACAACATCTGGCCGGCAAGATTATTTTGACTGTGACTTTTACTTATTTTAATATTTTCTTAACAATGCCATGATAACCAGTGACAGAGACAAACACTCCCACCATGAAACAGTGCAGCTCTGCAGACAGTAGACAGTGACCGATGCAAAAACAAAGCCCTGACTAAATGAATGAATGACTAAAACCTTTTTACCTACCATAAAGTGAAAGACAGTTACGATTGGCTACAGAATACATAGCGTGATGAGAGAGGGAGAAAGCAATGAGACGCTGCGTGGACATAGATAATGTCTAGATCTTTTTGGTGCATATTTTACAAATTGATAGAAAGATAGTGAAGAGATTCAAAATTCAGATTAATGTCTTATCCTAGCTGTTCCTTTTCTTGTTTTTTTAAAAACAATATCAGCCTGGTGAATATTCCACAACCCTCTTTGGCACAATCCGTTTCTAATTTGAGAAGTAGTAAAAAAAACACTGCCACACATCGCATGAAAATGGCATCACTCATTTCAACACATGAAATTACAAACATACATTTAGACCTTCCTCGATCAACATCAACATTGCCACCTCGAAAAAGACTTCTATCAAAATATACTGAATATTATCAAGGTCACAAAACCTCTTCCTTACCTTTCAAATCTGGTTTGAGCTTTCATAATCATAAAGTGCTGTCTTAAAGGGTGTTACACTGTAATGTAAATTGTAATTGTCTTTTCTCTGTTTGTTTTGTATGTGCATTGTGTGTTGTCATTAAATCAAATAAAATGAAAAACAGGGTACAACAACAACAAGGAAGACAGATGATCAATTAACTTACTCTTAGCCATTTTCTGAGCAGCCTCCAGTACAGTGATGGCTGCAGGATAGGCTCTCCCACTGACTGCTAGCATGAAAGGGGTCATTCCACGGGCATCTCTGTCAAAACATTATATAAAAGAGCACTTAAAATGAGTGGGCAATTTATGCAATAGCAGACAAATATCTATAAAAAAGGGAATCGGTTTTGTTAACAATAAGCATTTAATTAAAATAACATGTAACAATAACAATAACTGAAAATTCATACTTGGCAGAGAGCAGCTCCCGTAGGTGTGGCCTCAGAACAACACTGTCACACATCAGCTTCAGGATAAGGTGGGCATTGGCTTTCCTGTCTTTAGATTCCACCACAGACGACTCAGTGGATGTCCCTGCTTATATGAAGAGGATATGTCCATTAGGTGAAAAACATTTTATCACAGAATTTCAGGACACAAAGCACACAGCCCAAGAATGAAGAAACACTGATACATGAGAGATTAGGCCGAATTCATCTCATGCAAATTTCCGTGTGAGAAATTCTCGGATGCACTCTAGATAGGAGTATGATATTGTTATTTTGTAGTATTATATGATAGCTCAACAGTCTTACTCAACAGCCCAACAATGCATTGCTGCACGTCAGACTTTACAATGGCAGATGTTGCCAGCAAGCCAACAAGCCGAGTACAAATTTAAAAAGTAACCCCCATTATTACACGTTTCATATGTGGTCGAATAATATAAAATCTGGTTAAGTATGTTGAACATGGGACAACTAACTGTTGGAACAGTGCACCTTTACAATGAAATTAATGACATTATGTATAGAACTTTAACATTTTATTAATTTTTGACACAATTTCTCCTCTTTAATGAAGATGTTATGTACCTGGTAGGGTGGAGGTGCTTGGTCCCTGGCTGGGCCCAGTGGAGGCGGTGGTTAGGGAACCCACTGCTGGTGCTAGAATGAAGTCAATGTCGCCGTCTGTTGATAAAAAAAAAAAAAAATCAAACCACAGCTCCGATGTATTACAAAGATTTTAACAAATTGAGAAGGCATACCACACGCAGGACAGATGCTCCTTTAATTAACGATTGTGTATCTTTTAAACCATTTAAACCACAGGGCTTTAAATATTTCCAAATTATAAGAAAATTATCACAAGGCCACAAGGTAGAAAGTTCTTGGGTTTTAACTGGTAACATATAACTCATTACATTTGTTGTAGAAAGGTGGGCTGGTGTAGAGATAGAATTTAGTTTTAGGCTTGAATACTTTGTAGCAACACCTTAACTACGTCTTGCTTATATGAATGTTTTTGTCACAGTGGCATTGCTTGTCTGAACGTAACAAAGATCATCTCAATTTCATATAAAAAGATTGTACAAACCAGGGTCCATGGGTGGCGGGTCAGGCACCCAACTTGGTGGGGCAATAGGAGGTGATACAGGATCTTGATGGTCACTGGATGAAGGGCCAGACTCATGACGACTGAGACCTGCTGCTCGAAGAGACCTTCGCATCATCTCTCTTAGACGAAGCCTGGTGGCAAAACAAAACATATATAGAGAGTAAATATTAAACATACTTCTTAGTAAAACACATAATGCACAACAGCAGCATATCCATGTTGTAACTTTCACATATACATGAACACTTCTGACAGCAGCTGCATATTACCATTTTGCCAAACCCCTTGGCACGTCCTACATTTTTTCTGAATCTTGATACACATTGGAAGTATTTATTGTTAAAGGAAAAATGTGCACCTTATTGATCCAGTAAATGTCACCCTTAAGCACCAGCATTAAACCAAAACAAACTGCTGTTTGGTGACAACCTATTGTGGAGCCTCTGCACTTCTCCAGTGTCACACCTCCAACCCTCCTCCACTCGCGTTTGCACAAAGGAGTTATTAACAAGAACGCAACCTTATTGAGAACCATTTAAGCACAAGCGGCGGACAAAATTGTCCTTGACTCGAGCTGCACTTGCCTGTGGCTCGCATTGTTGTTAGCAGGCTAATGTTCGCACACTTAGGTTAACTCATAGCTTCACATTGCATGGAATGACTGATCACTTGGGGGACATCTAAATAAGCACTGAGTAGGTGTTGTAGATGTTATTCTTCTTTTCTCTAGTCCTTGACTAAAACAGCTTTATACTCAAGGACGTCCAACCATGTAAACAACACAGCTGGCAAAAAACAGCTGGCAAACCCAGGCTTCTCACTCATTGTAGAAAAGTCATGAGTGAAGGACACATTTACAGAAGATAGACTTGATTTCTGCTATAGATATATACACATATACATATACACACACACGTATATATGTATGTGTGTAAAATGTATTCTCATAGGGAGTCTTCAGTGTCTAAATGAGTTTTCTGTACAGACTATTTTTCCCTTCTTATATTATGTGTGGTGCAAAAAAAACATATAACTAGTTATTTACCCTCTGCTACTTGATGAACCAGTCCTATTCCCAGAGCTGTTGCTTGATACCACGGAGATGGCATTTGCAATTGCCTCCACAGCAGACAGACGCTCTGCAAATGTGTTCCTCTCCGACCTTTCAGCTTCTGAAAGGACAAAGCTTGGTGACTTAGCATGGAAATGAGTATGAGGGACACAGATACAGCATTTAAAAATGATATGGGCGCACAAATTCAAAATTAAAATATTGTTTTCAAAGAAAGTTGTTTTGAAAATAGAGACAAACAAATCAAAATCTGAGATATATTGGTAAGAAAAATGTGTCAGAAACAAGTACTTTTCTGATCTAATTTAAGAAAGGCTGAATTCTCAAACACCAACATACCTTCTTCTTCTTTGGTCTCTTTATTACTAACAGGAAAGCAGACAGAGACAGCAGCATGAAGGATGTTACGGTTTCCATCACAGCGATTGTCCAGGATGGCTCCAAGAGCCTGGCTGCCCTGATCCAACAGGAAAGCCTGCTCAAGGTTCACCAGATACTGTCGACAGGCCTCGTAGTCACAACGCAGGACATGCTGCATCAGCGTCTGTTTCTAGAAGACACAGAGATTGAGCACAGACAGATTTTAGATTTATGTCTTTACTGGAAACTAAGTCAACTTTCAGGGGTACATTGAAACTCTAGATGTAGCTACCGGTTGTTTGTCTTTTACAATGTAAGATCATGTTTACCTCAACAGCCATAATAATTATAGCAGCTTTCTTTTTAATTGTTGAGTTAGAGGGCAGATTAGCCAGAGAGTGCACCCCCATTCCCAGGCTGTTTATAGGAGGGAGGTCCAACCAATCAGGATCTCGAATTCCGCCCATGCAGTCCTTGGCCATTGGGTAGATTGTGCCATTTCCATCCCGAAGGATAATCGGAGATTCCTGGAGGAAATACAATTTCAACAGTTAAGATTAGCATATAGCAAGGCTTTCTAATATCATGGGCAAAACTAAAAAAAAAAAAATATATATATATATATATATATATATATCGCCTTTTCAGGAGATGATCTCACCTGTCCTGCGGTAAATATGGCAACATTGCGCTCACTCTGCCCCAGGAAGGCCAGGTTGCTAGTTGGGAAGTTATTCTCCTGTTCAGCTTTGCCTGTGGCTAGATCAAAGATGCAGTACCTTACCCAGTTAGCAGTTTTCAAAACTGCGTGGACTCCTGGGGGACAGAGAAACAGGTCAAGGTAAAAATGAAAATCTGCAGTGAACTATAGACCCATAAATATTAGTCAAGTTTGTATTGTATCTAACACAACAAATCATAAATCCACCTTTGGAGTCAACATTCACAGCCAAAATCTCTGCCTTTTCTGGGATGCAGAGCTTTTTAGGTGTTCGTTGAAAACAGTCAGGAACTTTTGGAGTCCCGCCAGTTTTGACCACCTGTCAAGAACAAAATGAGGGAGAAAGAAGTTCACATAAATGTCAGGGGATTAGATGCTCTAACATGCAAAAATACATTTACTTCACATTTCAAATACAGTCATGAACATGCATTGCATTTTATATCAGTTTCATTTCATACCTGCAGCTCATCTATTCTAAGGAGCCTACAGTCCTGTAACAGGGATGAAGGGTCTGAGTCAGTGGGAGCAGCATTGCTCTGGTTGCTCACACTGCTTGATGTTCCTGGAAACTTAACAGCAACGTATGCACCATCCACTTTAAGCACCTAGGTTAAATGAGAAGATTTTAAGTTCCAAAACTGAAATATCAATTCATAGAAAGTCAGACCAGTAACATAATCGATGGCATAATCTAGATAGATATCACTACACTTGAAAAGTCTAAATTTATACACTGACTCATTATCAGAAGCACCTACCTTTCCCACAGGGACATTTTTAACATCCTCCACAAACACCACCTCCCTTAGGGGCCACTGCTCCTCATTCACCTTCTCTTCCTCTTTTGGAGCCGGGGTGGAACGCCTTCGCTCTGCAATTAGTAGAGATTACTATATTTTAGTCCTTTCATCTCAGGATATTCATATAAAGCATTATGATGAAAACATGTATTTTGAAAAAAGAGAGCAAAAAAATCAATTCAAAATGACATATCAAAACAAAACAAATAAAACAAATACAAAGACAAGGCAAGTTTCCCATTTTAACTAATATATTATATAGATATAAATATCATCCAAAATGATTCTCTTAGACGTATTCGTTGTGTGACTACTTAGTAGAGATAAAGGGCAATCACACATTGCAGTATTCACATCCTAATCCAGGTGGCAGCAATCTGCTTGTAGCTGTTTGCTAACCGTTATTAACAACAAACGAAGAAGAAGAAACAACAAAGCATACAAAGAAGAAGAGTAATAACCAATAGCAACATGACACGGCCAAGCTACGAGACCAGTCTGCTTGAATAGCACAGCCAATATACAAGTGTTGCTGAGAGGGAGACATATCAAGAGAGAGGCTGACATACTGTAGGGCAGTGAGGCACTGCTGGCAATGGAAGAGGTATCACTGCAGGTGGACGCTGGGGAGGGAGGAGGACCCATCTCAGTCTTTACAAGCTCTGGCTTGCTTTCCGTCCTACTGGATAAAATCAATAGAGAGAGGTGAATTTGAGATTTAAGAGCTACAAAAATTTAACATAATACAAGACAGACTATTCAGAGCAGAGACTAAAACTAAGATTTTTTTTTTAACAGCATTTAAAAAAAAAAAAAAAAAAGTGTATACAATAAAGGCTTCAGTGGTTAATGATACTATATGAAGAGACTGAATGTAAATTTAATCTGGGATTTTTTTAACTTAATTGTTGTTGTTTTTTTTAAATATTCATTATAAGAAAAATCTTTTTGTCAAGGTGGCAGGCATACTGCCTAATTTTATTTGACTTAAATACAACATTTTCTTTAAAAAAAAATGATACTGACTTGATTTCCTGGGTCTTAGTGGTCTTCTCCATGTTTTTTAGGCTCTCTGGTGAGCGTAGCTGGAATCTGCAACTGTCATTCATGTTCCAAACAGATTCCAACAGGACTCCCACTTTGGGAATCCCAGCACTGACAGAGAAGGCCACTGCACCGGCATGGTAGAGGGGGTTATTTCTCAAACACACCTAAGGAGGGACATTTGCACATTATAACATGTTACACAAATTTCAAAGCTTTGGTAAGTTTCCACTATTTTCAAAACATGAAATAATTACTTAGATGGAACACCTAGGCTGGAAAAGAACATTGTCCACTTGTGTCATACAAGTTATAACATAATATCAAATTCTGTCTTACCTGTGTGCCCACAGTGATGTTGGGTATTGAAGAGATGCCAGCACTAGACTTTGGCTTTTTGTTTTTGGCCCTGGCCTTTTCAAGCATCTTCTTCCGTTGACTAAAAGGCACAACTCCCCTGCAGAAAGATGCAAGCAGAAAAGTGTGAAGACTTCAATGACATTTATAATGTTCACTAAAATTAGCTTTTCTCCCTTAGAACTGAAGACATATCACATTTGCTTAATCACAGGTTTTAAGGAGCCTCGTGCAATTGCCAATCTCAATCTGGACAATCTAGAAAATTGGACAATGCATGAGAGTTTTAACTGTTTGTTCTTTTCATATTTCACATGTATGAAAACTCTGAATGTCTTAACACATTCGCATTAGTAATTTCACAAACACTCGCAATGCCACCTAATGGCAAAAGGAAGCCAGTGCTTTTTAAAAATCACTAGTGGTTCCCTACAAAGCTGACTATAACCCCTCTTAAAAATGGGTTGGAACCTCCCAAGACCTTTGCCTTACTATCTTAAGAAAATGAACGGCCTGCGTCTAACCATGTGGCAATGCCGACACATTGTTAGGGTAGTTAGAAAGCATTGTTTTTCAACTGCATGGAAACATACTGACTGACAGAATCTTCAAATACAGTGTACAGCTATATAAACAGAATAAAGATATGTAAAGAAGCCTTTTGTTATCCACATGACTTTTGAACACTCTTACCACACTTTCAGGAATGTATAGTTTTAAATAAAAAAACAGGAGGATAATAGAAAATACTTTCTTACCACCAGAAGAGATTATTCTCCTGCTGTGCACAGGTGTAGAGGGCACAGCAATGCAGTGACACTAGGCGTTCACCCTGCAGCTCAGGGAAAGCCTGAGCACTGTGCTCAAGCTTAGAGGCCACTGTGCTTAGTGTGTCATCTACCCAGGTTGCCACCTACGTTTAATACAAACACTTGTTAATGAACAATTCATTACAAATAATAATAAAGCTTTCATTGATTCATTCTCAATTTCAACCCCGTTTCAGAAAAAGTTGGGCAGGGTGTAAAATAAAAACGGGATGTGTTGCAAAACATTGATACACCGTATTTGCTTAAAAATAGCACATAGAAAACATATCAAACGTTGAAACTGAGAAATTTCACAGTAAATTATGTGATTGGCAAATAACAAAAACAAAAAAAAGGAAAATCACCCTTATGATCTTGCCACCTAAGGTTTAATTTGCTTCATTCTGATCAATTTGTTCACAAATTTGTGCCTTTTCTCTACCATTTTAAAACTACGATCTAGTCTTGTGTTCTCTTTTCTGTTGTTTTTTTTAAATCTCTGTTCATCAGGTACATTTCCACAGTGACAAATACACATATATATATACATATACATTTATTTATTTGAATAATCAAAACATGTAGACTTCCAGAGTCTTCCAAGTCGCCAAACACCTTTAAGAGCTTTCAGCATAATAAGTGCATACATCCCTTATTCTGTTTAACTGTCTAGAGATGCATCTCTGGCCTTCATCTTTCACCTCTTGAAACACATTCTTTTTTGAAACGTGTTGCTGGAATCCAATTCAAAATGGGCCTATAATTTTCCAAAAACAATGACATTAAACGTTTGATTTCTGTCCGTCTGTACTATATTCAATGAAGTATGTAGTATAAAAGATTTCATATTGGGATTTTACACCATGTCCCAACTTTGGCCAAAATCGAGTTGTAAAACCTTTATGAAAAATATTGCTACCAAGAGCAAGTTCAAGAACAATTTTCTGTTTAAAAGGAAAAACATATTATATACCTTGTTGGCCTCCGTAGCCACAGTGGCCCTGATGCTATTGGCAGATAATAAGGTGATCTTTTCATTAGCCAGGCCTAGGAAGGACACACGTGGGTGATGAATGGAAGGATTCTTGTGGGACAAATGAAAAGAAAGTTAGAGATATTAGCTCTTCAAGGAGTCAAACTTTGCTTTCAAGCCAGTTAAATTACTATCATACAGCTGCATATTTTATTTCAATTTAAAAATACATAAATAGCACTTTTGGGGAAAAAGCTACCTGTGCATTCCTATAAGGCTCAGGTTCACTCCACTTCCATTGATAAAGTTCTCCTTTGGAGCTGACAGCCACCAGCTCTGAGAACATGGCACCGATACTCACAAACTTCACACCATCCTGTAAAAAACAAATTAGAGCTCTCAGATCATTTCTGATATGGTAAAGAATAAAGTAAATGACTATAAATTGTAACTAGTGGACTGCCATGTTGTTTCAGAGACAGTGATATATGATGAAAGAGACTAGTATTCAACAACTTTCCACTTGCAATGTCAAAGCAAAGCTGTGTTGTTTTTTAGCATTAAGTCTTTATAAACTCACAAATACATTTCTTTATTCATCAAAAAGCCTGAGACATTCATTCTAAAGTTCAGTTTTGATTACTCCTACCTTGTCAGGCCACCACTGAAGTTCCTCTCCCAGGGAAACGGGGCTCTGGACAGGGATGCTCTTTTTGTCCAAGCTGGGCTCACCCTCACGGCTGGTGGAGCCTCGCTCTGTGTCAAATGAGGCCCCATCTAGCCATCGGCGTTCCCGCAACCTCAATACAGACTCCCTCTCACGCAACAGCTCTGAATCTCGCTCTAAGGGAAGAAGGAGAACTGGTATGCAATAAGGTCACACCAGTGGGATAGAAGTAAGCCACTCTCTGGGAAAGACCCGTCAACATGGTTTTAAGAATAGAGAGATAGAATATTTAAAATCACTGTAATGCAAATCAAAATTGCAGTACAGGAAATTGAGTGGTTGAGGAGTTAAATTGCACTGGGGGGTGAGGTGAGTTTTAGTTTGCACGCAAATATGTTAAAATGCGATGTGGAGGAAGAAGTAAATAGAAAGAAACAAAAACATGCATATGGGCTACACGTGGGCTAGGTAGGTTTTTCTTAATTAAACTGCCTCAGAGGTTCCCTGTCCAGACAGGTTGTCCTAGCGGGCCTTTCTCAGAGAGCTTACAGTATGTACTACAGCCATGCAGCATACAACATCAAACATGTAAAGTCTGTTTAGCCTAACCCCCATATTTAAAAAATCTGGCAAAAACAGACTGGAGAAAAGAAACTGCATCAGCGAACAAGCTGAACCCACAAAACATTTGTTTAAAAGCCTAAATCAATACTAAGATTACATTTAGCAAACAGGGTAAAATCGACATTTTTTACATTACAGATGTCATTCATGTTTTTATTATAATAAAAAGATAAAAATGCTTTTCTTGGAAGATAACACCTGTTTTACTTATAGCTATTAAGGCTCCATGCCAGCATTAAAAGCCATCACCAGTGTTGCAACCACAGCCCCTCTATCACCCTGCTTTCCCTTTTCTTGTCTGAGGAGGGAAGATGAGTTACCTCTGGAGGATCCCAGGCGAGATAGTGAGGAGCGTCTAAAGGAAGGGTAGCCAAAGTAGCTGATGTCCTCGGAGAACATGGCATCAGCATCAATAATCACACTAGGATGAGCCGAGTGAATGTCTGCATCCAGCAGAGACATCAGGTCTTCTGAATAAGAACACAGGCACAAAAGTTTGAAAAGTTAGAGAAAATTAATTTAAAAAACATGATTAACATGAACATGACTATCTGCCATTTTGGCTAATACTGTCTTGGCCATTAGAATGTTCTTCACTATATGTAAGCTACTACAATATCTGTCCCCATTTTCTTTCTATGTTTTTATTTGTCAAACCTCCAGGGAGGTAAGACTCGCTGGCCGTGTCGTCTCCATCATCTCCGTCTTCATCATCTCGGCTCAGCAGGTTGTTGACTGCAAGGTTGACATCCAGGTTGGTCCTCTGGAGTTCCCTTATGATAACACTCCTGGACTTCCCCTGGAGAACTACCTGGGCCTGTGGAAACAAGTCCAAAAACAAAAACATATTTTATTCCAGCATTCTAGTGAGTGCCTATTTCCAAGTAATAAGAACTTAAAACAGAATAATTTGTTTCAGCACAAGAAGAGTTGAAAAGCACAACACCAAAAACAATGGAATCAGATATTATCAGAAATCTGAGACATCTGTACCTGAGTTATAAGTTCTTCAGGGATGACAGAAGCTGGTATCACTGGCTGAGGCTGACTACCTAGAAGGCCTGAGCCACGATCCCTTCCTGTACGGATCACCCTGGTCTGTCGACGGGAATCACGAGCTGCTGTTGAAGACCTTCCCGATGTGCCTCCACCTCCTCCTCCACCACCACCACCACCTCCTCCTCCTCCTCCTCCGCTGCCGCCACCTCCTCCTCCTCCTCCACTGCCCCCTCCTCCTCCACTGCTGCCACCTCCTGTTCCGCCTCCACCTGTTCCTCCACCACTTCCTACTCCACTAGCTCCGTTTACTCCCGAGCTCCAGCGACTCCTGTTACATACAGTAAAAGGCCACGGTCAGAGACAACTGCCAAAAACAACATCGGAATAACCAAGGGATTGTACTTTAAGGCATCTTGGATAAGTCTTTCTGCATCAGCAGCAGCATTTTTAGGGAACTAATCTAACATGGCAATATTTCCTTATTTTATCAGATGTTCTTAGAGTTTAGGTTTTTACAAAAAATGCCCAACATACTTGTTTAGAAGATCAGTAATACCTGTAGGTTTCAGTTTAGCATCAAGCTGTAAAGGGCACTTTCTGAACACCTTCAATAACAGTTGCAACAAGATCATTTGAAGGGAAAATCAATTATCCAGTGCTTACCAATCCCGTAAAATGTCATGTTAAAGAGGATTATATTATACAAGAGTATTCTTGTTTTTTGCTCATTTTCTTTTTCATTCAAGATTTTAATGTTTGTATTGTTTGGTCAATGCATGAAATAAATAAATATAAATAAAATAAAGATTAAAAAATAAAATTACTATATATTGCAAATGTATTAAAGTAGAAGAAAATAACCTTTGTTTTGGTGTACATGTAGTAGACACTTTCATATCCATTAGGATCTTAAGGCACCTTTATATTAATTCTTTAGAATGATGAAATCCCCTCATAATTCACCCCTGCCTTGCTGCTAGTTTAGGGCTAAACAGCTAACTCTTTAGGCACCATTTGTCTGTATTAACCCTGCCAGAACTTACCCAAGGGTGTTGCCTGCCAGTCTGCCAAGTGTGTCAGAGCCAGACAGGAACCAGGGCGGATCACTAGTCCTGCCTGGCCTGGAGCTCCTTCCTGTCCCTGAACCACTGCTCAACTTTGAACTGAAAACAAAAGATGGGAGATCAGTTACAAATCTACAGAAGTCCCACACAGGGATAAAAATGTCCATGTATTACCAGGGTAAACAGAAACTTAATTTTTAGTAACAGGAGGGGGTATTTTGGAGACTAGCATGGCAACACCCTTTGGAATCAGAATTGGTTGCAACTTGTTCCTCCTTCAAGACTTTCCCATTTAAAAGTTCTTGGGGTTTGAGGGCTGCGACTCCTTTCTTCTATTTCAAGATAACATTATAGAAGTCTGAGTTTAACAAAAAGTAGTTTAATGTTATGTTCTCAACTTGGGCTATCTCCCCAACCGAGATGTTCGAAATAGATAGTTTGAATTAATGTGGATTCATTTGGTACAATTTCGCTAATGTTACTTATAACAGACACAAAATAACACTGAATTTAGATTACCGACAAAATAACAGAAGTACATTTTAGTCATTTTAAACCATACAGTAGGAAACAAAAAAAAAGATTCAAATTATTCAGGATTTACACAGAAACTGTAAATGCACACCAAAAGTCAACAAGTTTACCCAAATCTTATAACATTTATGAACCACGGACATATTAAAGATACACAGATAATATTATTGAGAGAAAGTATTATGGCTTTTTGAAACCACAGGCAATATTAGGCAATGCAGGGTAAGTTGTCAAACCTGGCAAAGACAAACTGCCATTCTCTTACAGCAGGCGTTTCAGAATCACACAATGATGCTGACTCTAAAAAAGTCATCAGCTTTCAAGTAATAAGCACGCAAGAATGCATGTTGCAAAACACTCAGGAACATATTGCTCATTTTTCTTCAAAGCTTGATTCACATCCATTAGATTAGACGACAGTACGTCAGACTGAAGGACTGCACATCTGACACTGTGGTCAGCAGCATTGGAGCACCACAGGGGACCGTGCTCTCCTCTGTCTTGTTCACCCTGTATACCTCTGACTTCCAGTATAACTCTGAGCTCTGACACATGCAGAAATACTCGGATGACACTGTGATAGCTGGTTGTGTCAGGGATGGACAGGAGGAGGAGTACAGGAGCCTGGTAGGGGACTTTGTGACGTGGTGCAGTTCAAACCATCTGCAGCTGAACACCTCCAAGACCGAGGAGATGGTGGTGGACTTCCGAAGGAACAAGCCACAAGCTGGCTCTGTGGTGGGCGCAGAGCTGGACTCTCTAGTGACAGTGGCGGAGAGAAGGACCCTGAACAGGCTGCTCTCCATCATAGACAACACACAGCACCCTCTGCACAGCACCTTCACCGGGCAGAGGAGTGTGTTCAGTGGCAGACTGCTGTCACAATCCTGTTCCACAGACAGACTCGAGAACTCTTTGGTCCCCCTGGCCAAACGTCTGTACAACACCTCACAGTTATGGCAGGGGGAAAGTACACAGTGACTCTTGGACTAAATCTTCCTTTTTCCATTTCCCATTCTTTCCCACAGCTGTCCCAAGAGTCAGCCTCTAGTTGGACACTTTAATGATATCCTCAATTATTTAAATCACACCTTTAATGTTTGCACTGACTGTTATTTAATGTCTGTTTTTTTTATCATTTTATTCTTTCTAAACATTGCTAGAAAAAATGATTCATCTAGAGGTATTCTTAAATCTTTTTTTCGGGTTAATATATATGAATGGGAGGGGGGCGTCGTTTTTGTGGTTAATTTGTAACAAATGTTTCATGTCATGTATGTCTTTGTAACCTGCAACTGGATGCTTTGAATTTCCCTCAGGATCAATAAAGTATCTATCTATCTATCTATCTATCTATCTATTACGAGCGACAGAAAAAAGGCCTTCAAAACTGTTTAAAGTAGTTCCGCTGGAATATATTGACTAAAAGTCTAGTGGCAACAGTTTACTTGCTCCATACATGTACCTA